TGTACACACAGGGAGCTGAGAAAATTCTTAATAATTATGCACCTTACAAGAACATATCCACTTCTTGAATACATTAAAGGCAGTTCATGACACACAGATACCAGACTGTAATATGTCCATACAGTATGTGCAGTTTGCTAGAAAACCAGCTGTGGGTCAGAAAATATTCAAGCACAAGGTAACAACTCTCTTAAAGAAAGATTTAATGGGCAAGCCTTAATAAACAGAATATTTTTATGGAAAGACACTTAAATTACCTACAGTTTCTGTAATCTCCCTTTCTGTTAATGCATTTATTTGTGTTTGAATAGGTTTTCCTGCAGCTAGCCAGGTCCCTTTGCTGGATCCTGCAGAGAAGCCATAATCCTGCACACTTGTTTTGTGCTTATATCATCACTTATTTAGAGTTATGACTTCACTGCAGGATCAGGAAAGCATAGAAGATTAGCAGTAAGGGAAGAAAGTGATAATTAGCAAAAATTGCATGGGATAATTGGAAATATAATAAGTGTTTGGGATGATGAAATACAGAGAAAACATTAACAAATTAATACAAGAACCTTTAATGTTAGAAGGTACTTTGAAGATGAAAAGCACCATATATGTGCCTATTACTATTATTAAAGAGGGACAAATAGTTAATATATGTTTACAGAGGTATAAAATAAGCCTATTTATTTTAACATGAGAAAGAAATTAAGATGCAGGCAAATACCATATACACTGTTACAAATTATGTACTTGTGGGTTGTTTCTTCTTTCCCTTTGGGAAACCTGTAGAAAAAATCTATAGGGTTATCAGCCAAATATGGAACTATAATATCATTAAAACCTCCAGTTCAAGGATTGCTAGAAGAGAGTTACAGCTACTCAGCTGATTTTGATACTGCAGCACTTTCATTACTAAAAACAATTTTAGCCGCTAAATAGAAAGGCACTTGTATTGTGTTTGCCATGTTAAATATACAATTTACCACATTTCGGCTCCTCATGGGATAACTTTTTTTTGTTATTGATAAGGATCAACCAGAGAGGAAAAATGTGAAAGATATTTTCAGTCCAAGTAGAAAACAGCATATGAGAAACTGGCTAAAGGGATGTTTTATGTTCTGCATCAGCTATCTGTTTCAAGTATATTATTATCTGCCACATGTGTGAGACTTAACTTTTTATTAGATAAACTTCATAAATGATAATTTTGTATTTCCTATCCAAAATCTAAAAAATACAAATAAACTCATTTTCTTCTTTAAAAAAAATTCAAAATGTTTACAGGTCTTTTGTTGCAATGGCTGATTACTATGAAAATATTTCTAAGCTTGTAATATTCATTAGAATTTCTTGCTAAATATTTATATCTGGGAGTCAAGTGCTTCTCAGTTTATAAACAATTATTTGAAGGAGACAAATAAATTAAATCTGCAGTAAATCACAAGCACAAAACAGGTTCCTAAAGGTTTAACCTTCTGCATTTCCAATGCATATGAGTCTCAACAGCCCTTCTGTTTTCATAGACACACAATTTAGTTGCCATGGTAATACTTTCTAACCCTGAAATATGACTTTAATGGAGTTCCTTCCAGTTTCTGTAGACTACAAGCATCTACTACTCCCCTTTTTAAGGAATCGCAGTTCTTGATCTCTTAGGATTTACCATGTAATCTGAATATAGTAATGATTACGAAACTCAAAACATGTTTTCATTGCTAATCAATAGTTTAGGGCCCAGCCCATTGGTCTAGTAACAAACTCAGCTTCTCAAGGGAGGAGCAATTCACTCTATATTGACTCTCTATAGCCTACCTAAGAGAAGTGCTGCTGGACTTTGGAAGGATCCTCCTCTCCCAGCTGGAAAAATGGGATCACTCAAAGTGCCTTGAGGGAGGTAGCTAAAGAACAATAGACAAAGATTGTGGAGGATCCTCCACCTTTCTCAAAAAAACAAAACAAAACAAAATATATATATATATATATATATATATATGCAGGTTTATATGAAGGGGAAACATAACTGACTGAATTTTTGTACTAAATTCAGCTTAACTCAATTCTGGTTTCTCATTCTGGGACTCCTGATAATAGCTGCACCTTTGACTTTTCAGGATTCACACTATGGGAAGCTACTAGACAGCAATAGCAGCTAAACAATATGAAAACGGACAGCAATAGTGTAATGCTGATGTAGCAGAATGGTGACAAAAGAAGGCCCTCTACAGTCTATATTTATAGTCATACTATTCAGGGACAAGACACCTTCACTCGTGACCAAGGCAGTGTTTTGCTTCTTCAGCATTTGAGACTGAACATTTGTCTGTGATTGCCTTGCACTACTTTGGGAGAGAGTAATTTTTTTCACACTTGTTTTAAAAAGACTGATGTTAGGTTAAATGCTGGACATGCATCAAGAGGTTAAGAGGTTTATGAACTGTGAAATAAATGCTGCTGTCCAGGGTGACTGAATGGACATTTCATTGGAGGCTGCTGTTAGGGCTGGTGAGTTTTCCTGGAGTAGCAAATGCAATTACATAAGCTAAACCCATATGTATCTGGTTTTAGTTTGGTCTATGAGGAGGCAGTGTGGTTTCTTTTGTCTTTTAAAAGGGGTGGGGAGATGGGAGGGGATATAGGTGGTGTAGCACTACCTCTTTAACTCTGCACTACTCGAGGATTCGCCTCTCTCAGAGGAATTCCTGGATGCCCCTTTAGAGTAGCTTTCCATCTGGTTTATTCTGTTGCAGCACCAAAAAGCTGGCAGAGTCCGAGTTGAGAAACTGACCCCATGTTTTCATAGTTCACTCTCATTACAACTGACTATTAAATTTTATAATATGGAATAATATAGTTTATATTTTAATTTATGCTATTACACAAACCCAATTATATAACCATCACTTTCTGGTCCCAAAAGCTACCATTCATCTAAAACTGTTTAATAATGAGGATTATTAAAATTATTTCTACTGGAAGACAATAGAGTGTGGCACAGAGCTTAATTACAGAAAATAGTCAATTTCTTGCACTAAACTGAAAATACTGAAAAGGATATAATGATTAGACAACTGAAAGATGATAGGCAAAGGAACTATAAACCGAGAAATTATATAAATTAGTGGTTAGTCCCCTAATCTTTTATATTGTCAGGCCTCTGCAGATATTTTATTCTTAAATTTTAATGTTTTTAAATTGGTATGAAAATGATGTAATTACTTCTCAATCACCAACTTCAAGACATTCTGAGTACTGTATTTTTTCCTTTTTCTATGTAAGCTGTGATAGTTGGTTGAGGATATAAAAGTCCAAACTGAAGAGTGTGAACTGTTCACTGCACAAAGGTACTGACTTTAATATCATTGCTCATTGAATGTTCACCAGCAGCATCTCTGGACTCAAATTCAGTGTAATTTCTATAGCAGTATTATCGTAATTGCTAATGTTATGGTTAAGAATCTGTCAGGGTGTCTAACCCCTACACAGATAACTTCAGTTTTATAACTGCCATAATACTTTGTTACAAGTTGAAGCTATAAAACACAAATTTATCAGGAGAACAATAAATATTTCCTGAAATTTATAAGGTGCAGGAGTACTAAACTAAGTGGTTCACCAATTCTGCACTCATCCAAAAATAGCTCACTTCTAGAAAATGCAAATGTACAGACAGTTAGTGTATAATGTGAATAAGAGGAGGACAGGATACAAGAGAAAATCCTGAAGTCTCAGACCTTTTCCTTGTGCCTGTACTGATATTTTCCTTCAGGTTGGATCAATGTCTCAAATTTGGTTTTAATTAAAAAAGACAGAAAAAAAGAATCAATTGTCGCAAGGAGTTTGAATTTCACTGGCTAATCAGCCAGGTACCTGTCTTAATAGGGAGAGGGCACAGATCTAGTTTCTAGCAATACATGTCTGCCTTTGTAGATCAGCTATTGCTAACCTCTGAGGGTGCCAAGATTTCCAGTTTCATCCACAAGCATTGAAAATTCAGAAACCTCTCTTCTTTTTCATCATGTCACATAAGATACAAATGCAGTTCCTGACAACATACAAGAACATTACTGATTTTCTTAGGGCTTGTCTATATATTGAATTATTCCAAATAGCTATTCTGGGATAGCTCCATGTGCATACACTCTTATTCCAGAATAAGAGAGCCTTGTTCTAGTTCAACATAATCCACTTTGAAAGTGGAATAAGAAACAGGAACAAGACACTCTTATTCCAAAATAATGGAGTTATTCAGGAATAACTATTGCACTTTAAATTCCCACCCTATTTTAATCCAAATTAACTTTCACATGTAGACAACCCCTTAGTGTGAAAACAATCAGTTAAATGGGATAAGTCTACATTGTAGGTAATGTTGAGCCTCCCAGCCCGGGAAGGCAGAGTCATGCTAGTGGGGCTTGAGCTAGCATGCTAAAAATAGCAGTGTGGACATAGTGGCTTGAACTGGAGCTCAGGCTCTCTAGCCTAGGGCATCAGAACCCAACCTAACTCTGCAGGGAAGACATACCCTAAGAGTGGACATATCTTAAGATGATTCTCTCCTTTCTTCAGTTGCTGCTCTCATTTTTATCTAATAACGTGTATTACAGAGCATCTAGCTGCTCCATAGTTAAGGCTGAAACTAATTTACTGGTTTAATACATTAGACTTTTTTTTTTTTTTTTTTTTTTTTTTTTCTTACTTTTGTATTTGGTGCTATCCATACAGATGTACAAGGCAGTCATTTGACATCACGTAAGTTTTACTTTTGTTCTGATATTGTATTACTGTATTTTGATATAAAATTTGATAGATGTTGAGAAATTAAACATACTATGTTATATTGGAACAAAAATAAAAAACAAATGGATAAATACTAAAATATCTCCAATGATACAATTACTGACCAGGAAATTCTGCAAGTTTCAGAGTAGATTTACAAGAAAGCAATTTTATCTGTAAGGCTGCTGAAGCCTCATTGCTACTGGTTCTTTAGAGAAGAAGAATCCCCTTACCGTATTGATCCAATCATGAATGGCTGTGCTAGCTGTACCACAATAGCACCACTGCCTAGCTGATGACACGTGTACCCGGAATCCCAGTCATAATTCTTTGTATCTCCATTCAACAAGGCATTGCGACTTCGACTTACACCCTCAATCACACTGGCACAGTCTGCAATTGTTGCAACATTTTCAGTGGGAACTATGAATTAAAACACAAAGAGAGCAAATGTGATCAAATGGTCAGCAAATGAGTTCTCCAGTTTTAACAATTTTTATTTCTGGTGAAGAATAAAAAATAAGCTTAGAATTATTGCTAACACAGGAAGCTATGGATCTGTTTCATGGCATAAATTAAAAACAATTGCGCTCTCTGAACTGAAGCAGTACAATTTTTACACCACTGATTCCAGCATAGTCATGTGACAAAATAAGTATTGATAACTAACATTCGGGGATAACTAACATTTGGGATATCACAGTTCGGACAGTAACATTCTGCTTCCTTTCCTGTTGGAGTGAAAGGACCTGTTGATAGTTTCCCCTAGACAAGCATGCCCAGGCTCAGGCAGTGTGAGTGGAATGTCAATAACAGGAGCATTTCCCAACCAATCAAGCAGAGGCAGGTAGGAGTAAAAATCAAATCCTGCATAGAAGAAGTTATGTCTCTTGGCAAGGAGAGGAAAAAAGAGACCATATAGACTTTAACTTAATGGGAGTGGAGGAAAAGAGAGAAGATGCTATTTTCCCTCCTGGGGGTAGTGTTGCAGTATTATGACATTTTTGTTTTCCTTTTCACATGGATTTTTATCCAAAACTCATTTTGGATCATGTGTCCATTTATATTTGACTGCAAAAATGCCACTGCACCACTGCTGTCACAAAGTAAAAGAGAATAATTATAATTATTAATAAAATACCTATCTCTTATGTAGTAGAACTGCAATTATTTGAATGTCACAGCAACCATGTATAAGTTCAGAAAATTGAGGGAACCTTCAATGTAATGAATGGATGACTGATATGACAACAGAGAGTTTCAAATAATCAAGGTTAGACTGCAATTCTATACCAAACTAAAAGCTAGAATTAAAATATTTTCTGTAATGTTTTTAGATGTTTAGGAAGCTTATAAACTCATTTGTGCCAGAATAAAACAATATTTGAGTATTAGGGGCATTTTCCTCTGATTCAGGAAAGACATCTTCTTAGAAGAGATTGTTCCTTTGCATGGACTGGTTCTTTTCCTACTCATTCTGTTCTGTTTAGGACTGCATGCTCAGTGGACTCCGATCTGTTTCATCCTCCTGAAACAGCTTCCCCATCTTTCCAAAGCAAACACAGATCATTACAGTAATAGTTTATTTACGAGTAGAGGCCTTTTAAGCAATTTCCCCAAAGATCAAAACAATAATAACGTGAAGGCTTTTAACTCCTCTCGGAGCATGTTGAAAGGATGGGGTGGGCTTGTGTGTGCACGGAGTGCTTTTTTCTACACTGTGTTTTACGAAGTGCTTTCACAAAAAGTTCTTATTTCTTGAATTCCCCAGTATTTACCTTAAGCAACATTTAAGCAGGTATAGTGCTTTCTTAACTAGTTCCTTTCTATAATTCATTTGGCCTAAAAGCTGCTGTCAAGTTTTCAAACTTCATCTTGACAGTAAAGAAACAAATACATACACTTTTACATTTATAAAGATGGCAGAAATCCCTTCATTAAAGATATACTATTCAAGTTCAGCACCCTCTTAACAGTGGACACATGAGTCTTAAGATATTCCTTCTTTCTTCAGCTAACCCCTTCAGATTTTTATCTAACACCACTGCAAATGCAAAAAAACTATGTTAAAGGAATGCCTGGATTGCAAAATGAAGCTCTCAAGTTTGGAAATGCAAAAATTAAAGTTGCTTGTTGAAATGTAACCTTGACCACTTGCATGTATGTATTATGATACACAGTTTAATTATATGATAATATATTATTTTTGACAGGGCCACTGCCTCCTTTGGTATGCAGATGAGATATTACTCAGTGAATAAAGCAGCTGTTCAGTTATATATATATAGCCTCAGTATATAACAGGTGATGTCTTGCCTTATTTACTGCATGCTATATGGCCCTTTCCCTGTTTTGCTACACACAATTTAACATGTTCTGTGAGCCACCATAATCTTGCATCCTTTCATAAGCATCTTCACTTATTATACAGCATGAGGCATGCCTCTTTCCATATTCATCTTCATATATTAGTCCTGTCTTCACTGTAGCATTAGCTCAACTTATCAACACTTGAATTAACTCCTCTTGAGTTAATCTAGCTCAACTGAGAGTGGTCACACTACAAAACAGCACTCAAGCTGCACAGAGTATTTAGATTAGCAGAACAGAGCAATTGTCAGCAGCTCTCAGCTTTAAACCACACCTCCTGAGGAGCCAGCTAGCTCAAGTTTAAAGCACCACTTAACTCAAGCTAGTGATTTTTGTATGTGAAGAGGGGTCACCTTAGGGGGCAACACAGTGAAGACAAACCCATTGTATGGAAAAATGCTGGGCTTCTTCACATCCCTGCCTCATTCCACAAGTACCCTCACAAATCGTATTCAACATGTACATACACATTTAAAATAAAATATCTTCACCTGACACTTTTACATATTCCTGTGCAGAACCAATAGTTGTTCAGCGATCATGTACTGCCTGAAAATTTCTAATCTATTTACATACATGTGTATGTACAGTGCCAATAATATATAATCAAAAGGACGTGCACATACACAAAATACACTTTGTTAACTCTTACAACTAAAGCAAAGCAAAACTGACTTTTCTCAGACCTCTAAATGGCACATCTGTGACCTATTGTCCAATTCAAGTTCCTATTTTTTTTTACCAGCTCATGCTGAAGTACTATACCTATTTAAAAAGGTGGAGAGGGGTGAAATATTTCATAATGGCAAAGTGTACAGTACTTCTTCATTCTTGAAAACAGTTGAACCATTTTTGCTCAGGCCTTCAAAACAAAAATTCAACCCAACCTATCCCCATTCCTCACACTAAAACTAAGAACAAATGTGCAAAATTTCAGCCCAAAGAGTAAAAATTTAACAAAGTTATGAGCAAATGAAAAAGATCCTTTAGAATTGGACCACTAGTGTAACTATTATAACCCCACAACTTTAACTCTGCCCCACTAGGAATGCCACTTGTTCAGCACCACCTTTTCCAAATTATCCCCTCCAACCGCAGCCAGACCACTCCCCTCAACTTTCCCTTCAGCACACTTCTTTCACTAAACTATCAGCTCTAAATATTATTAGTTGTGGGTGTTTTGTATAGGGCAAACTGGAAGTTTGGTGTCCCTAAGGAGACAGAGTTAAGATTGTGGCTTGTGATCTGTAGCATATTTTAGCTGTGGTGATACTAAGATGTGAGCTTGGGGTGGAGAAGTAGAGGTTGACTATCTTTTCATTTCCTTGCTTTTGTGGTTTTTGAGGGGTATATTATGTATGTAACAACTGTTTAACAATGAACAGGACCTGGAGAGCCCAAAATGGTAAGTGTGGATTGTGGTTGGGGGTATGAGGAAGGGCACCCCCAGTATTGCTAAATGCAAGCATTTAAACACCATGAAACAGATCCCCCAAAACTCACGAGACTGGATTAAACTGCTAGATGTATATGTATTTTTTTTAAATCACATTGTTTGTTTGTTTCCTCTTTCTGAGTCTAGGGCTATGTCTTCACTGCAGTGTTAACCCTGATGGTCAGCCCCTGGTCCTAAGTACCCACGCTACAAAGCCACAACTGAGTTACTGTGTCCTCACTGGAGCTGTGTACATGTATGTATATTGCTAGGATATTTCGGGGGCATATGCCATGGCACTTTGCGCTGCTGCAAGCTCAGCTTCTCTATGATACTTTCCCAATGAATTGTGGGAGACTTGTCTGTTTTTCTGGGCACATGAGGGGAATTAAGGGAAGGCAGTGGATGACTATCAGCACTCAATTGATTTAGCCTGCATCCTCTCTGCAAGGTGGGCATGTTACCAGCCTGAGTGAAAGCCTCACTTGGGCTTTAACTTATAGCCTCAGATAAGCCACCAAGCCCAGGTTGAAAACACCACCAAACTTGGCTGAGAGGGTTTGGTGTGTGGACAGGAGGGGAGGGGTCAGTGCAAAACCAAAGTAAAAACTCTGCACAGAAGACATATCCTGTAGCAAGAAGTACCCACCCCCAATGAGTGTGGGATCATTTCAGGCTCAAAAGCCAAGTTTAAATGCATTAACACAATCCTCCCTGTTGGCTACTGGAAGGGGGATTCAATTTACTGTCTTCTAATTCTGTCCTTCTACATTCCCTGCCCCTATAACTGTCTCCCTTTCACCTGGTCCTCCCTGCCCACCCCTTTCTGTCTTTCTCCCTAGTTTATCTAGTCTTCTATCCCACTCATATGCCCTCACCATGATCTCCCATAATCTCGTCTTCCACATGTCCCTTCTGCCTTCTAATATTCATTTACTCTTCAGAGGTGCAAGTTGGATTCACTCCTTGTCCTAGGGATGGGGGTTCCATGACCACCACTCTCAAGAGGAGGAGACAGGTGGTGGTGGTGGTCGGGACTCCCTCCTAAGGGAGACAGAGTCATCCATCTGCCATCCAGACTGGGAGACTCAAGAAGTGTGCTGCTTGCCTGGAGCTAGAATTCAGGATGCAACAGAGTGTCTGCCGAGACTGATCAAGCCCTTGGACCGATACCCCTTCCTACTTCTCCACATGGGCACCAATGATACTGCCAAGAATGACCTGGAGTGGGTCACTGCAGACTACGTGGCTCTGGGAAGAAGGATAAAGGAGTTTGAGGTGCAAGTCGTGTTCTTGTCCATCCTCCCTGTTGAAGGAAAAGGCCCAGGTAGGGACCATCGAATTGTGGAGATAAATGTGTGGTTACGCTGGTGGTGTTGGAGAGAGGGCTTTGGATTCTTTGACCATGGGATGTTGTTCCAGGAAGAAGGATTGCTAGGAAGAGATGGGGTCTGTAGTGGGGCGGACTGCCCCACTCCCTGAGAGTATGGGCTGCAGCAGGCCAGTGCGCCTGCGCAGATGGGCAGCCAATCAGAGAAGGGCTTAGTGGGAGCCAATCGGGGCCCAGATTGGAGGCAGCCAATCAGGACCCGGCTCAGCCCTATAAAAAGGCTGTTCA